AATAAAATATAAAATAGTAATTCTTCCCCAGGAATACTACTAGGGCCATATTATTAGTCTTTTTCAAACAAAATCTCGAACAAGATGTCTGACATTAGCAACAACACTCCCACTACCAACTCCACTCGAGGCTTTGGTTGGACAATTGAAGAGGACACGTTGCTGTGCAAAGCTTGGGTTGATAAGACTGTGAACAGTGCACAAGGCACGAATCAGCGTAGCGGTCTAAAGCCCAATGGGTCAGGTTTTTGGAAGGACGTACATGATGAGTTCATATCGAAAATAGGCGATATAACCCGCCGAAGTACCTCTGGCTCTATGCTGAGCAGATGGGGTAACATACAGAGGGAGGTAGCTCGGTTGTATGGCTGTTTAGCGCAGGTCACAGCAGGACAAGGAAGTGGTCAGAATGATACGTCATTAGTAAATAAACATTTATCCTAACAGCACTACCAAAACCATAAATATTTACATTGATCGTCATCGTGTAACTCGGTCTTGCAAAAGACTTGTTCAGGCAAACATCGCCAACGAAGAAGGCTCGCTTCAAGCTTGACCATTGCTACAAGCTCCTTCATATCAGCCAAAGTTCTTGATCCGTTACGTAGAGAAGTCTACTAGTAACAGTGTCCCTGCCGAAGGATGCCAAGCCCATCCAATTGGTCGCAAGCAAGTCAAGAAGCAAAAGCAAGAGGCTTCTTATTACAAGCGTAAACGCCAAGAAAGCAACACCGAAGCCTTGGCTATTTAATGAGAGCAATGTCGAAACGACAGAGAAAGGTTCGACATGGAACGAGAGCTTGCCGACTACCACTTAATGAGTATGAGTTTGGATGGCATGGAGGAGCTCTCTCGTACAGTACCTATTTTTTATAACGCAAGAGAAAGGCACTTAAGAGACTGGAAGAAGCTGAAGCTGAAGCTGAAGCCGAAGCCAAACTTGAAGTTGAAGACCATGCTTGTGTCCCACAAGAGGGACAAGATGGATCTGATACCGAAACAGAAGCAGAAGCAGAAGCAGAAGCAAAGCAGAAGCGTAAGCTATTATCATATTAATAAATGTTTATATAAAAAAACTCATTTGCTTAAAGTCAAAGTACAGTATAATCATAATGTTATTTATAGAAAGAAATAAATTTTTTAAGCACTGTTGCCATGATGAGCCCATAAATGTTCAATGAGATCTTCTTCCAGTTGATGGTGTACAGTTTCATCTCTGATCTCACTGTAGCATTGGAAAAGTTCCATCATCATATTAGGATTTCTCTCAACTACTAATGATGGCACAGGCCCTTCACATCTCACTTCGGTCCTCGTGCTCTTCATTTTCATCCGGGACTTCGCGGTCACTCTCAATTATCATATTATGCATGATGACACATGCCTTCATGATAATGGTCAACTTGTTGAGATCCCAAAGCTTTGCTGAATGTCGGATCACTGCAAATCTTGCTTGTAGGATCCCAAATGCACGTTCAACATCCTTACGCCAAGCTTCTTGCATTCTAGCAAAAAGCTGTATATAAGATGAGTAGAGAGCTCATTAAGTATAATGGTTCATTGTTACCCTCTTCTTTTGCTCGACCGGGTATGAAATTGTATTGATAAACATTGCCCATGGTGGATAAATGCCCTCAACCAAATAATACCCTTTATCATATTCATGACCATTCACAGTGAACTTGATCGCGGGCATAAGATCAGAGGCTGTGTTGGTGAACAATGGGGATCGGTGGAGGACATTGATGTCGTTCAAGGATCCAGGAAGGCCAAAATGCGCATGCCATATCTATGTTTCATAGTTGGCCACGGCTTCTAAAATGACTGTTGCGACCTTCTCCTTGCCTTGATATTGTCCTTTCCAACCGGAGGGACAGTTCTTCCATTCCCAGTGCATGCAGTCGAGAGATCCAATCATGCCAGGGAATCCGCGCCCTTCACTGTTGTTGAGGATACGATCGAGGTCTTCTTTTGTTGGACTTCGAAGGTATTCCTCACCGTGGTTCTCGATGACGCCCTCACAAAAATACTCCAGACATTACAGAGCAGTACTTTTGCCCCAGCGTACATACTCGTCCACTGTATCAGCCGAGACACTGTAAGCAAACTGTCGGATTGCAGCAGTTGCCTTTTGCAAGGGTGTCAATCCAGGTTTCGATGTAGCATCGTACTTTTGAGGGGAAGTACTAATGCTTTTCTACTAATCCCTCGAGTATCTTATCAAACATGTTCCTAGACATGCGGAAGCGGCGTCTGAACAAACTTTAGGATACACTGGATTATCCGAGAAGTAGTCAGCATAAAGCCTATCATGACCTTCGACGCGACTACGGTTGATAGTTTTGCGACCAGCAACAGAACCTCCTCTACGTTTTGTTTGCTCTTCGTCTTCGGAATCTTCTTCGATCGTTATGAGACGTGCCAATAACCGACGGCGAGTGCGTCGTTTGGCATCTTCTTCGAGCATTCTCTTTAGTTGGTTTTCCATGTTATTTTGAATATTTAAATAAATATAGTGGGTACTGTAAATTTTTACGTACTTCCTATTTGGGAATTTTACGTACTTCTTGTCTTTTTCGTGCCTCGTTTGAGTAGATCATACAAATAGCTACCATTGATGTAGCCTATCATACTTTGACTCTGTTTAACCGTCGCAGCTAAGATGGCTACTGTAAATTTTTTACGTACTTCACCTTACTTTCTATGCAAAAATTTACGTACTTGGCCACCGAAGTACATAAATGTTATAAACATTCTTCGACCTCTAGTAAGTGATCATCCTCAACCTCGTTGATGACATATTAAATCCCCATCTATCATCATCATCCGAATTATCGACCTTATTACCAATCTTTCCGTTTATTCACATCATTGAATTCTATAGTAAAGACATATATATATATATATATATATATATATATCATAGTCTTTGAACGATATAACATCAGTCAGTTATCTTGTTTCCTCCCTATACCTTGTTCTTGTTTCTTTCCTCACTATCTGGTTTCCTACCTTCTGGCTTCCTTCTTGTCTTGTCCTGTTCTTGCCGAAAGCACCTAGCACATTCTCGTCCGTTGTTTCTGGCCTTGTGTTGTCTTGTCCCTGTTCGCACCTTACAGTAAATCAGTTCTCGCGCTGTATATTCAACCTATAAAATTTTACGTACTTCTCATTTTGGAGTTACATACTTCCGATTTTACGTACCTGCTGTATATGATTTTTAAGTACCTTGAGCGCTAAAAGGACCATACATGTTGTTGTTATTACTTTGAAGATTTTGTATATATAATCAAATTTCACAGAAGGGCAAGAAAGCCCACACTATGTTTTAAAGGTACGTAAAGGTTGATGTACGTAAAAATTGGTGTTAGTATGATTGTATGACTAGTGAGTGTAAGTAGTCAAGGAACGCGCTCATAAAAAAGAGACCGGTTTTCCTGCCAGAGCGACTGCTTTACCTGCAATCGCCGAAAATGGAAGCACCCAAATATAGTTGGGAGAGTCAAAGGGAGTTTTACAGTAAAGTTTTATTTTGGAACACGAAATTGGCACAACCGCTGGGGATGCTCTAAGGATGCCAATATTGAAAGGAGCCTAAAAAACGCACAATCGAACTAGAACATTATCTCTGGAGCCAAGAAACGATGTTAGCGATGCTGACTCAGTTGCTGATAATGACGATGATAATGAAAGTATCATACGTGGAGCCGATAGCGTACAACAGAACCAAATGGCCTTGCAGTATCTGAAGTAGATCAAGAAAGTCGTGTGTTCGGGGAACAAGAGCTGCATACCCTTCCGCAGCATTCACGGAACGATCCAGAAAACCGGCTACAATGGTTTTGAAAAAATGCATTCCATCTCATGGACCAAGCAAGAGTACCGCGCAGACATGATCTAGCAGATGACTTTTCAAGGCGATTTCGTGACGCACTCTTTGTTGTTAATGCAGACGACAAAAAACGTTTTGAGGAAGTTTTTATGAAACAAAGAACGACATGGGAATAAAAACTTGTTTAAAAAACCATCATGGGTGTTCAGGCGTGTTAAGCGTAAGCAAACAAATGAATAATTTTTACAGCTTTGATGCATCACTGCATAACCTTACATTGCTTTTTTGAAGGTAGTACACCGCCTCCCACTGTACTGTATCCTGACATCAAGCAGCTTTTGATGCATATGGGCCATTGAAATGTGCTAGTCAACGGTGTCACCATTTTCTACAGAACACTCGAGTACATCGAATGCTACTACAAAGCACGAAAAGAATACGAAAACATAAAAAGCACTAAGAACAGCTACAGAAATGTACTCCAGCGCTTAGAAATGCAATACAGATCGGCAGACAGAAAGCATCATACCAGACTCCTAAACACTTTCTACCCTGAAGTTCCTCGCTTGCAAATGGCTTCCAACATCTACCAGCAGCATCAGAAAAACATCCTAGCAACGACCATATCATCAGCTTCGACAGCCACGTTTGGTTCTGCCAGTGTTATCTATCCAATGGAAACAACCCCAGCAACAAACAACCATCGATACAGGTATATCACAGCTGCAGGAGCCAGAAACAGAACCGGCACCATTAGAAGCACCACCAAGGAGCATTTTGATGGTCTTCCGCTAAGAGGCGTGCCAAACGGTGCTGTAAAGTGTGCAAGTCATCCAAATGTAGTGGCAAAAACTATCGTGCTGGATGTCCCAGAACAGTTAGCAAATCAAGTATCATTGAGTAGATCAATCAGAATTACATGTGTCCTCAAAAACTCAATTAAAACAGTTGCACTGATAATTTTAATTCTGTCGGCCCCACCTATGATACCTGAGCCATTATTCTGTGTCTATGGCAATAAAGTAGTAGTGAGCGCTGATCATATTATGGTTAACAACACGTAAATCTATTTCGCCTGCTTCGCGCTAGTTATTATGACTAGTCTTGCCTTGTGCACTCTAAGTCTTTTTTTTTTTTGTAAACTACAGTACATCCTCAAAATTTTTTATGCACTTGTAATGACCAAATGATGATGGTTTTTATTGTTTATGTTCTTTTAATCTTCTTCACTCGACGTGCTTTCTTCCTCTTCATTTGTAGCACTCATTTCTTCCACAACTCCGTCCCACTCAACATTAGCTACCCAATCACTAAACACAATCGGCTTCGATTTCCGTGTTGTTTTCTTCAAGATCATTTTCGCCTTATCGGTCGTTGTTCTGCTATAGTTACTTTGCATCTCTGTCAATTCAGTGATCATTTTCTACAAGATAAAAAGTATATTATTCCTTAGCTCTCGAATGTAAATTTCTCCGCCCCTTCTATCTTTCCTTTTTATTTAGCATCTTACCATAACCAAATCCAAACTACGGAGAAGTTTTAGTAGTATGGTACCATCTCTCAAATCGGCGTATGTGCGAGGATATCGGAAATCACATACTTCTTGTAACGTATACAGTTTCTTATCAATCAAAGTCATTGAGTAAACAAAGCAAGTGGTACCCAATGCCTGAATTATCGGTACTTGAATACTTTTGACCATATCCTCTGTTATGTTCGGCATTTTCTTCAGGATAGAGTTCAGGTGCGCTTTTGATACTAGTACGGATTTAAGTCGATCTTGGAAAAGTTTTGTTTCCGTCACAGCTGCAACCTTGGCAACTTCGCCAGTTGCTGCTTCGATGTGAGTGGTGTAATTAGTCGCCAAAACCCGGATATCAAGGTTGAAAAGATGCCGTACTTGCTGGATGCTTGAACTCGTGTCGCCCCTGATAAAAAGAATGTTAAAAGTGCTTTGCTCCATTCTTTCCTCCATTCTCCCTCATCACTCCCCTAAATCCAGTTCCTAATTTACCACTGTAACTGGATGTCTTGATGGTATGAGAAGTAGGCCTCAAAGACCATTCCCCAGTATTTAACTATCAATGATGTTTCGGAGCCTTCCTCAAGATATTTATCTGATAGCATGTGCGATTTGAATGTATGTTGTTTCAATCTAGAAAATAGGCAATGTGAGATCTTCCCCATTCACTGCTGGTTACATCGCTCGAGTTATCGTGTTCTAATAACTTACATGTTAATGACTACATCGATCGATGCCATCTGCTTTTTTTCTGTCGTAGATCTGCTTGTCAATTGTTCGATGCATTTTTTCGCAGAACTTGGACCGTCAACCTGCAATTGTAAATAATATGAATATCAAATTGTATCTTAGAATCATCCAGGTACTCGCACAATCATACATTTTTTAATAGGCGTTTGTCATCCGCATGGAGATAATCATCACAGTCTTCAATTTTTTTGGGTGGTGAAGCATTTTAACCTTGCCAACAATATTCTTTTTGGTATTGCTACCACCATCAAGAGCATGCAGTTGTGACCCATCTTTATCGTCACTGATATCTATGATTCCATTACGGCTAGTCTGTAAAGAAACAGAGAAGGTTAATATAATAGAACCAAGAAAAAGGGTAAGTTAAAGAAAAATGGGAACACCTTACATCGAAAAATAACGTTCACGCATGGTCTTTGAAGGAAGTTCATCACTCAATTTTACTAAGTTTGAACCAAGGGTGCCGTTTAAACCACTGACTTTGGTGGCATCCGGTGAAACCTACCAATGGATGTTTGTTAAATGATAAATGAACGATAGACACGTGTTTTCAATTTCGTACTTTGGTTTTTTACAGGCCTTGGCCTCTGAGACTCGTAATGATAGTGGTCGTTTTTCGGATGTTGACTATGCAACAAAAAGCTACACATTAGAATCCTTAAGAGTAACACACAGAGTGTTCTTCCTTCTTTTCCCTTACCGAGGTTTTATTTATAGCATCAGCAATCTCATCCAACACTACATCATTTGCTTGTAATTGAAGCTGTTGTTGCTTCAAGACCTGCTGCTTGTATTTTTTGCTAAATCTGTTGCAGACATTTTGAAAGATACTAATGGGAAAGAGTAACGAAAGGTAGAAGAATGCGCTGCACTTCTGGTGGGCCCTTCTTGAATGGCAATAATCAAACTCAGTTTTATGGATACCAGTGACACGCCAGACAAAAGCTGTAGGCGATCCTAGTAATACCGATGCCACTTCATGGCTTTCCCCGGCAACAAATCCCCTCCCAGCCCCACTCATCTCCACCGAACGCTTTAAGCTGGAAACGGATTGCTCAATCTGTATATGTATCGCTTATTCACACCCAGTCTCGTACAGATGCGACTGACAGTGGAACAACCACCTACTTTACATGCGCGCGGCGTGTAGCCGCAACTTGGGGTAGTGTCCTGTCCGACGTCAGCCCGTGTCCTGATGATGTCGACGATGTCATCCTGAAGACTATGGAGGTTTTCCAAGGCAACCGCGGCATTTTAACTCACCGAGAAGGCAAAGGTATGCTTCTGGATGGCAACCTAAAAACCGAGCAAGAGCGTCACCGAGCGACAAGTACAAGCATTCAGTTCTCGCCCATGACAACTATTGTTGCAACGCCCGCTATTAGGCTTCGTCTCACCAATTTGCCTCTCTTTGATTTTGATGATTTAGAGCGAGGCCTACGCTCGTCACTGAATCCTTCTGCTGTTGTTCTTGATGTTGGCTTCACATACAGCCCTAAAACTCAGGCATACTGTACATGGGGCCACGGCATTGCTGTCACCGAAATGGCCCACCTGGATTGACCTTCGCTTCTGGATCATGCCGTCGCCTGGTGTGTCAATAAAAATGATCCTATTTTCGCTTCATACCAAGTGCCTTTGCACTGTACCAATTGCCACGCACGAGGCCACAACGGCCGCGGCTGCCCACGAGCACGGCGCAACCAAATAGCCTGCAGCGCATGTGGGTACCCAGGTCATGTGGCCATCAATTGTCCTACGCAACGCCGCAACAAGAACGAATGGACACAAGGATCATTGTGAAAAAAGGTTCGCACCCATCGGTGGAACTGACCAAGTCCAAACATGCGCCTGCCACGCAACTCGTCCAGGATGGAGAGTCCGCCGCTGCTAACGGCGACCACGACCGGACCCAGGACAGCAGCAAATCTGCGTCGCCTGTGGTGACCGACAGCAATGAGGATACGAAGGAAGACGATGAGACCCATGGCATATCGCTCGCGAATGACCACTTCCTTTCCATCGAAATCTTTTTGGAGGACTCGATTGCTCCGTACTTACAAACTACAGAACCACCACCAACTGTTCCCCGAGATTCTCAACGAGGTGTCGCGCACTCAACCACCCGACAGCTTTCTGGAGACCGTCGAGATCTCAGTTCCTGCCAAACAGGCCATCCGCGTGAAGGCTAGTACGGTCACCGACATGAGCGTCATGTACGTTCTCCTGGCCCATGCTCGCACAGCAGCCATTCAAAAATTGAAGATGCTCTATTGAGTGGACAGGCAGCCTGGGCGCAAGCGTACGCCGCACTATTGCCCCATTGCTGGTCTATCGACCATAACTAACCTCCAATAACTCTATCTTAATGTTAAACAATAGCAATATCTCGATACTATCGGTCAGCTGTAAAGGCCTCATAAAAACAAACAACCCCACCAGTCGTTCCCACTTTATTTGTCACCTTAGTGAGCAACAAGCTCATATCATCAGCTTCAAGAAACACACGCCACATCATCAACTTTGAACAACTTTTTCACAACCAATTCAACCCATCACAATCGTTTCGAACGCACCATTGTGGTATTGTTTCCCACTGTCCTGGTATTGCCATCACACGCTTATCAATACTCGACGGCCCTCGCATCATTTTCATCCGCGTCGATCATTGCCGGCACGAATTCTCACCATCTGATTTCTTACCACTTTACGCTCCTGCCCACTCTGCGCGCAGCCGACACCAATTTTTCACAACACTTCAACAATCACCATCTTCGCCCCCGACCAACCATATATCGAGGGGCTTGTCATCACAGACGACTTAACTACAGCTATCAGCGACCGAACTATCAAGGCAATGCGCCTATCGAATGGCACCACATGCTGCAACATCAATTTGTCAACTGCATCAACCCTGATCCATCAAGCGCCCCTCTTCCAATGTTTCGATGAGGTATACTAACTATGTCCACCATCGACTAGACCTATGTTTCACCGACTACCATCTTTCAAAAATATGGTGAAGGCTAGAGAAGTGTCATACTTGGCCCCAAACTGGTCTGTACAACTAGTCGATACTATGGTTATGGGCTCTATAGTCAATACGAGTAAAGGTTACTTGCGTGGCAACCCACTAATCCTAAAGTATAAGGACTTTCGTCGCCAACTCGCTCAACACCTGTCTAGTTTTTTCAACACACTTGACCCCACTCTCACCGCTCGAGAACATTGGGAGCAACTCAAAAGTGTGCTCAAAAAGCAAATGCAGCGGATTCTGCCGCCAACGTATATTAACAAGTCCGGAAATACCTTGCATCTCTGCAATCGAAGCGCAACGCATTTTTACGAAGCAATCCACCACCCAACATCCGTGCTGGCGCTGCCGTCATGGAGCGACACATTGCCCTGCACAATAAGAACTGTGCGACACTCTAGCTCTGCGATCCAACGACGTTGGCGTGAGTACGGCGAAAAATCTGCGGGCTATTTGAAGCGTACGGTCGGCCAACGTACCCAGCAGCCCAATATTTCGCCCCTGGCGCATCCGCAAACTAGTAAGATTTGCAACACAGTTATCGACATGCAAGCGGCTACATGCGCCTTTTACGGAGATCTCTACACCCCGGACGATGTCAATGAGACAGCCCTGCAACGATTCCTCGAGCACATATTAGAGCAGACACGCATACGCACGGACCACATAACATTGATGACTACAACGTTTACTTTACCCGGTCTCCAAACTGATGCCGCTCGCGCTCCACGCCGTAGCAGTCCAGGGCCCGTTGGCTTACCGTACGAATTCTGATCATTGGTGTTTAAACACCCTGTAGCTAAGCCTCTTATCTTGTGGATATATGATGATGCACTGACTCATGGCGCTTATCCAGCGCCCTGGTTTGACATCTGTATTCGCTTGTTTCAAGTAAGGTGATCTCAGTTCACTCAAAAATTGACGACCGCTTTCTATGGGTAACCGCACTCAAAAGTATTCACACGCTTGTTGAACAACCGCATTGTCACGGCTGCCGATCCCGTCATCAATGAACAGCAAACTGGTTTGGTTGCTCGACTTGTCATGCAACACGCTGCGCACACGAAATCCTCAGTTATTGGTCAGCTCCTAGTTCAAAGAAACGCCCGTGGTCGTGCTCACCAACTGTATCTGGTCAAAACACTCTAACGCTTTGGATTTCCCAGCAAGACTATACACAGTGTTCGCGAACTTTTCTTTAACGCCCGCATGAGGAACAATGTCAATGGACATGGACACCTCACAGGTCTTTCATAGAAAACGTTGTTTACGACAGGCGATCCGGTGCCCCCTATACTTTTCAACTTAGCTTTGGAACCACTACATACTTCGAGGGCGGTCCAAGACGACAATCTGATCCAGAGCTACAAGTTTACCCC